TTTTGTTTCTGACATGATGTAGGGGACCTGGACACCGATGGAAACTCCCACCCTCAGATTCATTATTCAACAGATTTGAAATCCTGTTCAACCAACAATTCAATGACCCCTGCTCTAGGTTGACAATATGTTTAGTTTGCCTTGTGTCTTTGTCCATTTTGACTCAAAAACATTAAACATTGGGCTGTTTCCACAATTTAGGGGTTTTAAAGAATTAATCAGTGTGCTGCAAGTATGCAGGTAAGTTCAGTACACACACATACACACACAATGCCACAATCTATGTTCATACTTTTAAAGTAGCCACCAAATAGATATTACAACCACCAACACTTGTGTAGTTTGTTATATTTCCAGTCCAGTACTATGGAGCTTAATAGGGACATCGGCAGGTAGCAGTGCATTCTCAAAATATGATGATTGTGTGCAATACAGTAACTGCAGACAGATCAGTAGCATGTGCATCTGCAAACCTCTCATTACCAATTTACAGATATTTCTAAGACTGCCAAATATAAGCACAAGAAGCCTGCACTGTTATCCGAACTTGGATTAACTAGGCTCTCCTACTTTGTGAAACCCACGACTCACGATCTTTTGAACACAGAAGGCACATCTTGGGAATGTTCCTTCTTACAGATAAAAAAAAAGTGTTCTTAACTAACATGAAGCATTTTACATGCCTAACAACCATTAACAATATGCAATATGGATTACAGATTCATGTGTGTGACAACATGAGCTGAGAACCTGACAGGAAACAACAGAGAAAGACTGGATGTGGTAGGAAGGAGTCCCCCAAAGTCCCCATTTAACAGTTCCTTATTAAAACATCTCATCAGAAACAGATTCAGCAGTGGAAAGGCATTCTGGTGCCTACATACATTAGTAGATGTTCAGTCAGTGTCACAGTGGGTAACAGTGACACTTGCTTGGATCAATATGTTAGGTGTGATGTCCTCAGAAAACACCACAGAGTCAGTCCCGTTCTTACACAGAGGTCACTGAGTTTAGGACAGTCCAGGCCAATACCCAAAGCCAGCAGAGTGTGGGTCCATTTTGATGACAGATTTCTTTTGGGAGCTCAGGAAACCTGGCTCGCCCTCTTTTGCCAGAGGGAACTTGTGTCCCTCAACCCGACAACGTCTCTGTCTGAGCTTAATGGCTGAAATTATACCAAAGGTACCTTTTAAATGCTGAGTTCAGTGAGGGACCTAGCTGGAAGCTTTCAAATGATACTTTAGAATGGTAAGAGCTCCCTCTAGAGGTCAATTCATGCTATGGTAGACACACATATCAAGTTGCTCTCTCCCCTCTTTCGTTCACTTTGTCTTTGATGTGATGATGCAGATTTCCCCTGCTACAGGTATTTGGCTTGATGAATCCTCTAAACAACGTCTCACGGGTCTAAGGATAGAGAGTATCATATGCTGTACAGATTGTAAACCCCCGTAAGGCAAATTTGTGATATTGGGCCAAATAAATAAAATGTATTCGACAAAATACTGACTTGTGACTGACATCAGCCGACATCTGTCTTTCCCTGGGTCCAGTGATTTCAACTGTGATGATCTTAAACCTACCAAAACAGACACACACACACACACACGTAAACACACAGAGTCTCTCTTCCTCCTGCACTCTCCAGCAGCTCTATCCGTGGCTGTAATGCAGTCTGAGAATGTGTCTGTCAGTCAGACTCACTGTTTTTTCCATTCATTAGACTTAAAGGAAGAAAAAATGCCTTTGTGTTTGCCATTCTTCAGTATCCTCTCTAAAGTAGGGGTGCTGAGGAGCTACACATGCACACGCATGCATACTTAAATTATTTACACTTCTATCAGCGTTAATGGACCCGTCAGTTACATTACAGGCTCAGCCTATAAGTCCTCGGCAAACTGTTCCCATAATGAACAACAGCTTCATATATATTTGATATGCAAAAATGTACAGTATATGACATACTGAATGATGATGGATGGTCATCCTGATGTTATACCACATTACACCCTTCTTTCCTATAAACGTAAGGGTAATATAATCTCACTTGGCATTTCTGGGTTGAGGTTTACCGAAATCTCTTTCTGCTTTTGTACATTTCTGCACTTTGTTCTTATTCTTCCTTCATAATACAATATATGGCCTCTTAAAGCTTTCCTCCTACAGAAAATATCCACTCTACTGTGAATAGCTGCTTTCCTTTGACCTCTCTCTCACTGTCTGTCTCTTCGTCTCCCTCTCTCTGTTCTGCTGCCCTGCTCCCATGCTCTTTCCACTCTCTCTGGTCTTTCATATATAATGCATGTTAAACAAACAGACATGTCAGAGTCACTCAAATGCATGGCTGTCCTCTTGCTGCAGCTCCATCCACCCTGAGTGGGAGGTCACATCTCAAAGGCCCCTGTGTACAGCCCAGGCCCAGCTGCGCCAGAGTCAGCTACAGTGAATACAAACTGTACATTCTACAGGGGGGGAAAAATCCATGTTGCTCCTATACCAGAGTTATAAAAATAGAGTGGGGTGTTTATGCAGAATCACTGCAGGCCCAAGTTTAACTTTTAAGGGAATGTAACAAAGGAGCATGCTGTTTGCAAAGATGTTTGCTTATTCAAAGGAAACTTGTCTCTTTTATCAAGGATTTTACCACATCTTGTAAAGGAGTTGTGGTTATGTGTTTGTGTCTTTGTATACACATAAAAGTCCCAACTGGTGTATTGTGAAAGCATGTACAAAGTGATGTTTGATCCATACAAATGTAGACCAAAGTCCATTTTGTCCTTTGTGGTTCAGAGTGCTAAAGACTGTCAGTAAGAGCGACATCCCTTGTCTGTTACTTTACATGCAAATCTAATTTACCTCTTAAGGCATGGAGGGGATAAGCTGCTGTGCTGGCTCACTCTTGAATTGTATACATGCATAAATAAACACACACACATGCACACACCCTCATCTACAAAATCCCAATTTTCCAGGTGCAGAGTTCTGTAAAATGGAGCCAGAGCCACTCATAAGGAAACTGCATTATTCTACATCAGCACTGTGCAGCGTCCGAACTATTATACCATCCACCACTACCATGCACATACAAATGGAGTTTACCACTTGACAGAGAGCGCGATGGGGCCTGAAAAGCACAAGGGTATGAGTGGGATCGTGCTCGATCAGTGGCAAAGTAAGTTCATTTTCATATTCCATACAGAATATGCTCCACTTGTGTTGCAGTGGTTGGATGCAAAATGACTAAGTGCACATTTCACAGGCACATTATACAGCATTTGGAGATGAGAGCTACCCAGAGTGTATATTTTCTTAGATTGGTGGATCACTGCATTTCAGCTTTGCATAAGTCCTCACAATGTATCTTCTCAAGTCTGAACATAATGCAAATTTATAGCATAATAAAGTTGTCAGAGGCACATAAAGATGGATGAATTGTGCATTCCTCTCTTATACAGCAGTCTCACCTGGGTAGTAAGAATAAATAATAAGAATAAATAACATTTCTCTTTCCACCCACTGTAGGCATAGGGAAAACTGGATTTATACAGACAGCTAATACACACAGAGACTCAGAGTGTATTCTGTGTGTGGATGAAATGGGCTCGAGAGGCTTTTCCTCTCACACAAAGCAAATATCTGTCCAGGAATAAGATATTGATTTGTCATTTCCCAGAGCTGAAGCTGAGTAAACAGGCTGAGCAGAAGTGTGACCAGTGGTCACTGATAATTGTTGTCCGGTAACAGTCAGAGGCCTCCGAAATGACACTAAACTCACACACTGTATACCCTACATCATCCACATTGCCTTGCATGTACCTGTAAACCACACACACACACACACACACACACACACACACACACACACACACACACACACACATTTCTATTTGGTATTCATGCAGTGAATCCTTTCCGGCTCAAACAAAACAATTTACAAACAAACATTTATTCCCATGTTTAGCAGCATTCCACTTCCACAGTATGAACAGCAACACATTTCCTCCGTCAACATGAATGTTTGAGCATCTTGTTTTGAGGACGCGTGCCCAGACGGAGAAGACATGTAGTTTATTTAACAATTGAAATGAATAACAACAACAACAACAACAACAACAACAACAACAACAACAGTGAGTGTTTGTCGTTTGTCTCCTACTTAAGGAATTTGAGTTCATTTCAGTGAAACAACATTACACAAACCATTAGATAGATAGATAGATAGATAGATAGATAGATAGATAGATAGATAGATAGATAGATAGATAGATAGATAGATAGATAGATAGATTAGATTTAGAAAGCTATACTGTTAGTATAAGAAGTAGTAATGGATTTTAGTTTACATTATAATACTCATATATTATATATATAATATATTATATTGCTCCTATGCTATATCATAATATCTTCGGTTTCTATTATATATACTTCATAGTATTGTATTTTTACTCTATACAGTTTTAATACATAATATTATTCTAATATTATTCTTCCACTATATTATTCATCACTGTACCTATATACAATACTTACTACATATAGCATCATGGCTGCTGAAGTTGCACTATGGACTTATATTTCACAACTATTTACGTAATTCACTTATATATAGTCTGATATATATTGTATATAGATTTTTAAAAGTCACCTCTAATTTATTTTATTAAAATATAATTTTATTGTTCTTATTTATTTTATTCAAGTAGTGCTTTATCTGTTTGCAGCAGCACAGAGACAGGTTGAAAGGTAATTTCAACCTGTCTCTGTGCTGCTGTCCCTTTGGGAAACAATAAAGTCTTATTTTATCTAATCTTGTCTTTCCTTATTATATGTAGTCTTATTTATTTTTTATTTGTATTTATAAATAAAAGATCTCGAATACTAAGCAAGGTTTATCAATTCCACCAGATGTCACCAAATCCTCACAGCCATGGCAGAGAACTGCAGTTATATCCTCCATCCAGTGGATGGAAGCACACAGAAATAAAGTGATGGATGTGACAAATATTTCAGGCCGTAGTAAAGAAAAAAAAACAGCGGCAAAGAAGTGGGAGAATCTGATACCTGTGACCGAAACAATGTAAACATAGGAAATGTTTTTATTTTGTTTTACTCCAGATGTTAGAGTAAATGGTAAGAGTCGTATGGGAATACATGTTGTTTGTTACATAAACGTGCTTTGTGTGTGTGTGTGTGTGTGGACGACAATGTGCATGGTGTGTCCACTCATGGACTACAGGAAGTCCACGCATAAACACACTAATGTTGTTGTCATGTAAGTTTCATAATGTAAAACAAATTATTTTAAAATAACACACATGTAGTGTTGAATTAAGTTTGTCCCTTAATATCGTCCGTAAACGCCCATCTTAGCCAGACATGGTTGATTGCATTTCTGTTAACAATTGACTTCTTCATTGTTTATTAACAAATCACTAGAGGGACTCGCTACAGTGGCCTTGTACCTCAAATAAATGTGAGAGTATTATTATATATTGTCTGTTGTCACCTATTGTTATATAATATCCTGTAATCAAAGACAGTAAAAGTCCCACTGCTTAAAGTAAACTGTGACCTCCCTGTGAGAATATACATGGAAAATAACTGACTTTGTTGAACCTGCACAATCTATTCAATATATATGGTTTTGAAATGATTTCAGATTTGATCATCATCACGTTATTTTCTCAGGAGGTGATTTAAGTCGGTCATGGCTGAGGAACCAGCAGCAGAAATCCAGTTACTCAGAAGCCAGAAGGCCAAGCTAATAGAGATCCTAAGTGCCGATGCCGACTACGTCCTGCAGCATGCAGACTCTCGCGGTCTTTTGTCTCTTCCCGGCTACCAACACGTGAAAGCTTGCCGTACTCCTAGTGAGAAGGTGACTGAGCTGCTGGATCATGTCATGCAGAGAGGACCTGAAGCAGCACAGGGTCTGTTGAAACTACTGAATGACCAGGCCCTGCAGGAAACCTTCCCAATGCTGAGCTTTATTAAAGATCTGCAAGCCAACACATTGTCTTCAGGTAGAAGAAAGTCTGCTCAGTATTGTTTGTCGGCAATCTCATTATGAAATACTGTTAGATTTCTATGTTAAATACAAACATTTTCTCTATTTACAAAAAAGAAACACCAAGAAAGAGAAAAGCAGCTCCAGATTTGGAAGCAATTATTCCATCCAAACAGATCTGCAACAACGGTGGGTCACACTACACTCAAAGCTATTCCCCTTAAAACATTGCAGAGATAATCACTGTCTTTATTTGCCTCTGTCTCAATACGCAGGCTCTGGCTTAGTGAAGGAGAAGCAGCTGATGACTGTGGCTCGTAAGATCGGCAAATCTTGGAGGGAGATTGGCAGAATGGCTCTGGATGTCCCCTCTTTTAAACTGGAACAGATTGAAGAGGACAATTCGCCCCACGTGGAGCGAGTGTTTGCCATGCTGCGCTACTGGCGTACCTGCCAGAGGGAAAAGGCCACAGCTGCTCACCTGCACTCCCTGCTCAGTCAGGAAGACTGGGCCCTGCCACCTGAAAGCATTGACTTCCTGTTGGAGACTGACTGACTGTCTGCTACCTGCTGAGACTGAAACCCTTTTTGAAGGGAAGAAATATGTCTTTCTCATCATAAATGCTGTCATTCCATATCTATATAACCCTTGAAGACTTTACTACTTTGGAAATTTCCCCACAGTACCATTGAGCAAGAGGCCTCTTATCATACTTTTCTATGATACTGCAGCTTTTTATAATAATTTATTTTTTATTTGTTTTTTGAAAGAGGTCTTTTTTTATAGATTGTGTGAAGAAGAATTAGGAAAACAACAAAGCAGTGCCCATTTCATTTTAATGTAAATACACTATGGAATTAAATAGGGAAGATTATTCTAGTGTTTCGTCTTATATTTCGCTGGGAGAAAATGTAAATGATAAGAAGACACAGCAGTTACACTGACATGCTCCCTGTTGACCTATGTACATATCTTGGTCTTTTAGATTAAATGTACCTTACATCATGGTGTGTCACAAGACATCTGTTTGTTTGCAGACAGGGTAGACAACACACTGAATAAATCATTCAATCTGTTTCTGCCTCCAACATTTTCTACACTGAAAACTTCTATAGCAGTGTCATTAATCTGATACTCTTGAAAATACTCTTTAAACAGGTTGAGATCCATTAATAAAACATTTAATGAAATGCATAATAATAAATGCAAAAAACTAATTAACGGCAAATTAACATTACCGTTTGTGACAGAAATTCATAAATGAAAAGTGATTATATTCTCTGTTGTTTTTCTTCATCTCAGACAACATTAATTAACTTTTAAGTTGTGGACAAAGGTTGACTCCCTCCCACTCCTGCCTCACTGTGCCACTTTGTAGCCATTTGCTGCTGTCAGTCTTGCCAGCGCAGCTAAAGACAGAACTTTTCAGCAGCGTAGATATGGCAAACATGCTCCCGTTCCCATGTAAGTACAGTGTGCTATGTGTCTTTTCTTGTCTAATTCTTGACTGAAAATGTTTGTTTATGCCTTTCCAACAACAGCAGACGGGCAGGTAAAGGAACCAGCTAATCTCCGTGACCTGGGTGAGCCTCTTATTGATCACTCAGAGGGACAACTCTTCTTGAACGAAGCCTTCAAAATTATGATGGAGGAGGTTCTCTGCAAGGGCACAGACGTCAAACAAAAGGTCTCTCATAAAAGCTTAACATCGCCACTCTGTGAGATTGCAGTGAGTAGTCTGAACAAATGTCCTGATGCATATTCCTGCAGGTTTGTGAGTGGAAAGAGCCGGAAGAGCTGGCTCAGCTGCTGGATCTGGAGCTGAGGGCGACTGGGGAGCCGCAACAGCGACTCCTACAGAGAGTAAAAGATGTCGCCAAGTACAGCATCAAGACAAGTAAGACAAGCCATGGACTAGTTGAGATATCTAATGTGTTAAAAAAAAAAAAAAGATATTAAATAATCTTTCATAATGAGACTTTTCTTGTTCATTTCAGGTCACCCACGTTTTTTTAATCAGCAGTTTGGTGGGGTGGACTATCATGCCTTGGCTGGAAGATTTCTCACGGAGACTCTCAACACTAACCTGTAAGAATCCACATAATATATAACTAAAGCATGGAAGCACTAAGTGTACAAGCGATGGACGAATACGTCTGTAAAAAAATATAGGTCAATGCAAATAATGTAATAAATGGAGCGAAACCTGCGAGCTAGTTCAGGCAGTCAACTCGAGCTACTTGGATACACACACACACACGACATGCCTCACTCCATTATCACTAACCAAGCACACCCTTCCAATCCGGCGATCTATTTAAGCTGCACAATATCCCAGCTCTCCCTCTGCATCCGTATTGCTGCCTGCTGCTCTGTAAACCCCACCACCACCCCAGCATCCACCTGTAGGATCCGGCATGTAAACATATCTGTGGGGAGTGATGAGGTCGGGGCCTAGACACCAAAATCTAAATATGCTTATACTGCTGTAATAAACATTTCAAACGTGAGCTGTCTGACTGAAATAGGGTAATAGTGTGATCTGTTTTTAAAGGTCCTGCATTCAAAAGTTTAGTAAGTAAAAGTAAAGAAGAAATAAAATGCAGTGAAATAATCAAAAGTAAAAGTAGATGTTATGCAGAACAGACTAACCAAACTCTGGCTTCACGGCCGCCATAGTTTATACCACACGCTGTTGGTTGCAATCTGACACCATTAAATCCTACACACTGGTCCTTTAAGTGTTTAATATACTGCTGGCTTGTTTAAGCTGTAACAATGCATCATTCGATCATATGATCATGTTTTGTACATGCAATCAGAATTTGGATAACCACAAGTCACTATAGCTGTACTTCAAAATTATCCTTAAGTACAGTGTTGGACTAAATGTACTTAATTACTTTGCACTACTGGTGTCAGACAGGTGTTTATTCAAGTTGGTTGTATTTGAATGTGTTTAAAATAGCTTCACCTATGAGGTGGCCCCGGTGTTTGTGCTGATGGAGACTGAGGTACTGAGAGGGCTCCGGCAGCTGGTTGGCTGGACAGAAGGTGATGGTATTTTCTGCCCTGGGGGGTCTACATCTAACATGTACGCCATGAACCTCGCACGCTACCGACTCTTCCCAGAAGTCAAAAGCCAAGGGGTGTGGAGTCTCCCACGACTTACCATCTTTACGTCTCCAGAGGTCAGGAATGTTTGGTAAACACTGCATGTCGGAAGGATTGATGACACTGTAGCAACTGAAAGTGTATTAGAGGTGTTTATTGTGGCCACACTGGGCTTTATGTGTTGTCTCTACATAAATATGATTGAAAGATGCATTCTTCATGTTTTTCCAGAGCCATTACTCTGTGAAGAAAGGGGCTGCTTTTCTGGGTATTGGGACCGACAATGTCATCTTGGTGAAAGTGGATGATGGGTAATGTGTTGTTCCTTATAAGAGCTGAAGCGATTGATTAACAAATTAGTTCTTCAATTTACAAATTCAAAAGATGTCGGCCTTGGCCTCTGGGAATATTCTAGGGTATTATTCCAGTCAAACTAAATATTGAGGGATTCATCTATAGTGAATAGAACTGTTAGTTGCAGCCCTATTTATTATGAATCTTTTTTTTTTCCTTCTATGCTCTGTTAAATGCTTCAGTGGCCACATGATTCCAGAGGACCTGGATACAAAGATAAATGTGGCAAAATCACTGGTAAATTGACTAACATTTAACAAGTCCTCAGACATAACATGTTGTTGTTTTAGGGTCACCTGTATTGGTTTTAACAATAATTATCCACAAGATATCACCCTGCAAACCACAAAATGCAAGAAAACTGCATTCACTTTCAGTTTGCTTCTACCAGGGTGCAGTGCCATTCCTTGTAAGCTGCACATCAGGGACCACAGTGCAGGGTGCGTTTGACCCACTGGACCGTATAGCTGATGTCTGCGAGAAGCACAAACTCTGGATGCATGTAGACGTGAGTCCTCCTGTGGAAGACAAATCCATTTCTGTTGACAAGCTTTGGTTTTGTGAAGCTTCTGTTGTATTTGTTAAAATTTAGGAACATGCTGAGTTTTGTCAGTTTTGTCTTGTTTTTCAGGCTGCCTGGGGAGGGAGTGTGCTCTTTTCCGAACAACACAGACATCTGATGAAAGGGGTTGACAGGTATTAATATGCATGACGGAAAATACCTTTTTCATCATGAGGAGGGTGACATTTTGCCTGTAGAGTACACAAGTATATAGAGCTACACAGTTGGGCAGATGTAGTTGTTGTTGTTGTTGTGTGTTTTAATTTGTCTGTGTGTGTGTGTGACAAGAGCAAATTCAGTAGCCTGGAATCCCCACAAGATGCTGATAGCCGGCCTGCAGTGTTCTGCCTTGCTGCTACAGGATACCACGGTTAGGCTTCACAGTTTGAGGCTTTAGAATTTTCTGATAATCGTGTTTTTTTACAAGTAATTTCTTCCTTTTTTTCAAAGTTTTGTCAATCATTAATTTCTGCGTGTCCTCAGAATTTATTGAAGCGGTGCCACAGCGCCAACGCCACATACCTGTTCCAGCAGGACAAATTCTACGATGTGAATCTGGACGTCGGGGATAAGTCAGTGCAGTGCAGTCGCAAGGTTGACTGTCTGAAGTTGTGGTTGATGTGGAAAGCTGTTGGCTCCACTGGCTTGGCAGAGCGTGTAGATAAAGCTTTTTTCCTTGTAAGGTAAAGAATGCATGCAAGCTGCAGCACAACACAATAAATTCCAAAACTCAACTTTAAGATGAATAATTTAAAAACACAACTTTATGATGAATAACTTTCAGATGAATAATTTAAAAGAACATCTATTTATCTATTTCAGTTTTTGCATGTCAAAGTAATGTACCCATTTATCAGTGAGTTGGTAATTTATTTTTATGAATGCAAGCATCAAGGAAGAAGGAATATTTGGGTAGATCTTGTTCAGCAGTTCAAGATACTTTGACGTCTAAATCTTTCATCTTTGCTTACCAATGAAACGTATCTAATACAGGAGCATCATTTAAATCTTAACTTACTTACGTTACATTTTCAAACAAAAGCTATGACTGAGTTTTGATCCAGGCCAACAGAAAGTGAAAACTTAACAACTCTCCTGCAGGTATCTGGTGGAGCAGATGAAGAAAAGAGAAGGGTTTCATCTTTTGCGTGATGTAAGTAACATCTCAAGCATATTGAGAAAGATGGGTTTTTCCCCTGATAAATGTTTGCTTACTTGTCTGTGTTTGTCTCCATGGACAGCCAGAGTATGTGAATGTTTGCTTCTGGTTTATACCACCCAGTATGAGGGGGAAGGAAGGAAATGCAGATTACCAGGACAGACTGGCAAAAGTAAGTTTCTGTATTACATCAGTGGACTGGAAAGACAAAAGTGTAACTGAGATTTTTAATGCCTTCCTTCCTTTGCGCACACACATTAAGCACTCAGATTCAACCTCTTCATTATTTGTGTGCATGCTTTGTTTTTACCACTTCTGTGCACCATCTGAAGTTAACTCTCTCTGGTTTTTTTTTCTTGTTAACAGGTAGCGCCAGTCATCAAGGAACGCATGATGAAACAAGGCACTATGATGGTGGGCTACCAACCTTTGGGAAACAAAGTCAACTTTTTCCGCGTGATTGTCTTCTCTCCGCTGGTTTCCCAGAAAGATATGGACTTCTTCCTTGATGAAATTGAAAGACTGGGGAACGATTTGTGAAGAAAAACACAACTAATAAGATGTGTACCCCTCGTCTATCTAGAATCCTAGGTTGTGAACAAAGTCTGCCATTGTAATGTCACAAATGATAACAATCCTGCTGTGTCAATTGACAGATGTGATTTGCTTGATTGAGACAGCTGTCACAATAGAAGGATGGACACTAAACTCTTCTGAGGACCTTGGACCAAAATATGAATAACTGAATTAATTAATAAATAAACAATGGCCTGTATTTCAAATGGTTTTCAAACAGTTCCAGTGAATTAAACAGCTGTTCTGAAATCTGTTCTCCAGGCACGTTTTTTTTAAACCATTTTTGCAGAGGTGGAAAATTGGTACCATATCATTAGTGGGGATTTATCCTTATATTTCATTTTCATACATTATAAAGTTTCTGAATAGAAAGGTTTCTGAACCCCCCCCATCCATTCAGACTTTATGTCTACCTGCTGACCCCCATTATTTGCTTCCATAACTTCATCTTTAGAATCAGAATCACTTTCATTGGCAAGGTTTGTGCACACATACAAGGAATATAACTCCAGTTTTGTGTTGCTCCCAATGTACATACACACAAATAGGCATATACACAGCAAAAAATAAAACTAAAGCAAGCTCGACAAGGTAAACATTAACTTGAAACTACTATGTACAGATATATATGTGTATAAATATATATAGCTATAAATATAAAACAGCAACAACATCGGCATGCCTTGAGTGTATAAGTGATATTTACATTTCTAAAAAACTGTACTTAAAGAATGACAAATAATTTACAGGTTATTACAGGTATGTCTATTAAACATCAGAAAACAGTGCCCATCACAATTCCCATTTGCTAAATTAACTTTAATGTAAAACAAGTAAAGCAACACATTCTCACATTGGAGAACTAGGAATCATGATGTCTGGAAGGTTTTCTTGGAAATTGACTTAAATGTTCAATCGGTTTTTAAAAACAGTTGTCGATTAACTTTCTGTCGATCATTTAATCACCTCATTGCTCCACACACACAGCTCCACACACGCAGCTCGCTCCCTCACAATTATGGCCGCAAATGTGGGTCACTCTGCTTCGGTCACATGTCACAGCGTCTGACCAATCCCCGCTCTCCCCGGTGAGCACTTCCGGTGGCGTTTCCTGTCAGTGTTTGTAAACTGAGAAAAAATTGGAAGTGCGACAAGAAATAATAATCTACAAAACTCTTAAATAGAGAGGTAAGCAGTCGGTTTTCGAGCAGCTTTCACTCGCGGCTCTTTAAACGTTTTATAATCCGCTACTTGTCTCTGTGTAGCGACTGTAGCCGCTGAGGGAGGTGTTATTTTGTGGTCGGCGCGGAGCCCGCACGCCCTGCCTGGCTGTTGTTGTGTTGTCTGGGGCGGGGGTGGGGGTTGGGTTGGGGGGTTGGGGGGTTCAGTCATACAAGAGTTGTCCCACAACCCAACTACTGGCTAGCTAGCAGGTTAGCCTTTTCTGTTTCATCTAGGAGAGACTCTCTCTATACTTTACACCTTTTTAAATCGATACTCTAAACATCGTACGCAGATGCACCAGAGTGCATTTGCATTGCGCTTTAGATACAGTTTGATTTTCTAAAAGCACACTTTTCCGACAGGGAATGCAACGTTTTGTAGGATAAGTCGCTAGCTAGCTTACCAGTGCTGACCTGCATAATCTTTATAAACGAGACATCGTGTGTCAAATCACAAAACCACATGCTTACAAATGAGGATGACTCACAACTAAAATAAGTTGCAACTTAAAGATAAATTCATGAAAGCAAACGTTTAGCGCTAAAGTGATGAGTGTATTTTTTTTTGTTTACCATCCGTGGTTTTATGTGTGGTCTATGTTGGTATGGTTTATCTGCTGTATGCTTTCATTTAAATCCTATTTTATGTTAGCATATAACATAGCATTGTGAAATTTGGGTGTTTATATGAAATTATCTGCTTTCCAGTACCAAGGATATAATCATTCCCCTTTTAAGTTTCTGGCCTTTTGCCTTAACTTGAAGGCCGAACTGCTGCTTGCCCTTTTTAGTCTTGTACATGTGCTAAGTACAACAGTATAAGAGAGAGAGTTGTTTTTTCCTGCCATAGTTCTCCACTTAGTGATAACAATGAGCAGGAATTGTGTAACAGAGGTGAGTTTTGTCTACAGTATTGATTACAGGAATGTGTTATTGGCAGATTTACACATTGAACTCACCTTCTAACCAGGAGTTAACCTAACCCTAATCCAGAATACAACACAAAAGCTTACTGACTGAAGGTAATATCATTTTTCTCCTTCAGAACAGTGCCAATATTTAAGACAAGAGAGAAAAATAACTTACAAATGTTTGTATAGTGTACAATTTCTTAGTTATTTTTCCACTATACCTATTAATTCCAAGAAAGAAGTTTGTGGTCATTTCACCACTGGTCACTGAGAACAAATCTTTATTGCACTACTTAGTGCTAGATTTCCTTGCCTGAAATCCAGTGTACAGTAACAGTGATTGATTGGCTACTGAACTGTTTATCAATTGGTTTGTGCTATGAATATATGTCAGGTCAATATATATATTCTATATATATATATTTCAGTATCAACTCATGTATGAAGCATTTGTTTGATTGAAGTGTCATTACTACACATGTATCTGTTCTTTTTGAAAACCTTATTTTAATTTTTCCCATTGGATGTCTTTTCTTTTCTGTATCTGACTGTTGTGTTTTCTGTCACCCATGGAAACGTGGCATGCACCAAACCATTGGGGCTTACTTGCCTGATAAAGTGCACATATTACCGCTGGATCTAAATTTCTGGTCATATGTCCAGATTTGGTAATTTGTGAAATCTAATTAGATTGGTCTGGGGTTTCCAGCTCCTGATTCAGGCATGTGAAAGTGTTAGCCTTATGTTGTCATGCCTCTACTTTCAGGCTTTGTCCCCTGATGATTTGGGTGCGTGTGGTCTCTTCTGTTACCCCTCATCCCGAGTGAAGCCCCCTCTGTTCCCCCAAACACACACGCATTCAAACCACGGCGATGACACACCATTCCAACAACTCTGTTCGAGACCATATGAAATGGGTCAGTGGAAGTCTCTTCATCTCCAGAATCACCATCATGGTTTTAGTGTGTGTCCCCAATCCTAGCGCCAGAGCATTTCTCCGTTACTCCCATAACTCCATCTCCTTCCCCTGACTCGTTCTCTCTGAGGAGCCCTGTGACCCCCTTTTTCTGCTCTGACATGTTGTTTGTGTTGCCAGGCTGGGTTGCTGGGCTGCGAGGCGGTGCTGTCCAGCATGGCCCTGATGCAAGCCAACAACATCCCAGGCCAGAAGAGGATGATGTCATCCTTGGGTCAAGGGCACAGAGCTAGTCCCGAGAGCCACCAAACCCACTCGCAGCACAGTCACAACCACCACGGACACCAGGTTCACCACGGACAAGCCCACCACAGCCACATGGGCCATTCTTCACCTGGGAGCTGTCCACCCCTGGTAAAGAGAGAGTGAAAACTGAACAGGGTCAATCAGAAAACCTGTTAAAGCTCTGATTTCTAAACTTTGCTTTCATGAACAAAATTTAAGTTGATAACAGACAGGTGTATTTTTGCAATGGAGTGATATAGTGTGATCATACATTACATCAGCTTAGAGCTACATTATTGTGTGTTACAAAGCATTTATTCAATGTTTAGGTCCTGCTAATTATACTAAATGGCGATGGTTAAGGTAAAGTGTTATCCTGTATATATGTGTTGGTTCCCAAAACTTATACCCACACAGAATTCTCGCAATAATAACAATAACAAATAAATAGATATAAAGTCAGTTTCTGAATCCTCTAGTACAGTTATGAATAGCTAAATTAACATCACAAGAGAAACAAATTAACACAAAAGAACCGCATGGCTGTGTCAGTGGCAAAATAGTTTGGTGCAGTGCAGTTTACCTACGACCATTTGTTCTTCCAAAAGCTGATCCGAAAAGACGGTGACTATCATTCATCAAGAATGATGGATGGAAAGGACATGCAGGCAAACCAGAATATGCATCCCAAGAAGAAGCACAAAAAATCAGGGTCATCCAACAAAGTGAAAGAGAAAGTGGAGGTACGGGCTGTTTCAAAGCTGCACTGTTAAGTATACATATATGTGTATGTTCAGTTCAGTTTCACCTAATTTTGTTATTCTTGTTAGCATTTACTTCCACAGATCGATATGGATGATGACAGTTCTCTGAAAGTCCAGAAGAACTTCATCTGTGACCACTGCTATGGAGCTTTCCGGAGTAGCTACCACCTCAAGCGGCATATACTTACACATACAGGTGAGAACTCACAGCTCACATCTTCACTTCAACGTGGCCTGTTTTTGTACTCTGTATGCATTAGTTAGACATGGGAAACAGGGTGGTGTGATGAGCAGTGAGGCCACAATTGAGGCAGTGGGGATCTTCTGCTCTTCTGAAGATCCATCTGCTTGGATTAAACTACAAAAAAGTGACAAACTATCCATTTTCAATGATTTTCAGCTCTGAATTTGGCACATACAACTGTTTTTCTTAGGTATATATATTTCTTTTTTTTGTGGAGAAATGGCATGTTTTTAATTTGTTATAGCGTATTCCATTCCTTACTAAATGTTTATTCTCTGTTCGTCCATGTGGCAAAAAACAAAAAAAAGAGATTGAATGAACAAATTAATTTAATGACAAATCTTGATCGATCATAATAGATAAATGTTCCACCTGGTTGTCCACAGGAGAAAAGCCATTTGCCTGCGATGCGTGTGATATGCGGTTTATTCAGCGTTACCACCTGGACAGACACAAGAGGGTGCACAGCGGAGAGAAGCCGTACCAGTGTGATCGCTGCCATCAGGTTAGTCAGCCATCGTTTCAGTATAGATTATATTCTTTACATGTATGTAAGCATGTATGTTGCAACATATTGGTCAGTATCTTATAGCATTAAATAAATCCATCTGTCTTAGCAGTGTAAGTAGCATTGTTCCGCTAACTTTGACTGAAACACACACCTGTCTCTGCCTGGCTCCAGAATTTCTCACGGACAGACAGGCTGCTGAGACACCGACGGCTATGTACAGTTGGGATAAACAAAGAGGAGAGCCAGTACTCGCAGGACGCATCTGCCCATCCAGCTTCCTGGAGTCCCCTACAGCCTTCCAGCAACCGTCTGACTGTCTGACCCTCAGCTTCCCACAGACACCCTACAGACAACAGCAGTTTGCAGCTCAGTAACGTCGCACATCGGAGCTCAACAGTACTGTAACCTGAAAACAACCCAGCTTAAACACAACCAAACTTCAGTTTGCTCTCGCCCAGCTCATTCATAGAGCTTGATAATGGATTTTTGTACTTTTTTTTAATCTATTGTTACATTCACGATACAGGCAAAAGATGAAGAACTAATACACGATCTTGGATTATGGTATTATGGCAATAACTGAATGAAAAACCCACACTTCTCCTTTTATCTTAAAAGTTGCAGGTATTGTTTGGTATTGCTGCCAATGGATTGCAAGTATTTTTGACTACACTGACCGTCAGTGTATCGTGCAGCACCTCTTAGGTAACCTGCTGACCTGCAACCGCAGTGCTGCCCTCTACTACATATGGACAGCTCACTAAAGGACACATACAGAACTGTGTAGCTTTTTAGTGTTCAAGTCCTATTCATTTTATGTTCCTACTGCTACTAATCAAGTACCAGCTACTGCTCATAAGCAGAGAAATCAAAGCAGACTTTTGGTCCATGCTGCCTTGAGGTAGTAATTAGCCACCTATCCAATACTGTAGATGTTGTGTGCATTAACATATCTGAAATGACATTAGATGTACTTTTCGATAACACTGATGAACACAAAAGGGGCATATTACAAAGTAAAATACAAACCAGTCATCCATTTTTAATTAATGTACAATATCGTGTTTTTTCCAACACTTAAATGGATCTAAAATAATTTCTTACTTGCTTTACGTCCAGCTGTAAAACTGAAAGATTAACTGCAGGTGCCACCCTGTTGGTGATGATGAAAAACACTAAAGGTTAACTAGATGCTCCCGAAATGTTTTTCAACTAATCTTGGCATTAGTTAAGTCGTGTAGCGACTGCTGGCTCAAATATTCACTGTTCTACCTTGTTTTAAAGGGGTTTTGTCCTGATTGTTAATAGGTTACACTGTTGAAATACAGTAGAAGGCTGTTTTGTAGGAAGACTTTTTTAAGCCCTTGACAAAGTTAGTGAGTTATTTTATAATGCTAACTGGATGTAGGACTCATCTGCCTGTTGCAAAAATTTGGTGTTTCCTGAAGTGCTTCTGTAAACCCCCCATATAAATTAATTGTGTTTACTGTCGTTGTTCCTAGAAACCACTGTCAGTCTTATTTTTTCCTGCTCAGCATTTTTAGATCCTTATGACTTTGAAAGACTTCCGTCCTTTCAAACGTATTTTGGTAAGTGAGGCTGTGTCAGCATATTATCTGAAATCCTGAGGTTTGACCTGAAAATTCCTGCAGGTACATTAGCCGGTGAAATCTCATCATAACTGAGGATAATATGTTTGCACACAGTTGGATTAAAACTAGTCCTGCGTCTAGACTTTTTTTTACTGGACGTACTGTAGACATTTTCTTTGTGCTGGCTAGTTTTTGGAGTGCTCTTGATAACAGCCCCGATTCAAACAGTTCAACGTATCATTTGGCTTATCCATAGATTTTAAGAGCTCACCTCCGTCTTGACCTGACTGAATGTGATCTGAATACAGTGCCATGTCATTTCATCTCCAGTTTAACCTGGAGCATCTTCAGTGAAGGTGACTAATTGTACCTAGTGGACGGGGGGAATAAAAGGTCCATGTGGTGTTTTCTATGATGATAGAGCCTACATTATATTATGTTCAGGCCTCTATGATTAAATCAGACTGTAAACACTGGACTGAAGATGTTAGCTCAGTTGTAGAGGATTGTATTGTCGACTGGTACGTCTGTTGCTGTCAAACCTTTTAGATTATGTGAAAGGAGTTTGGGGCCCATCACTCAATTGTCTACTTTTTATGAAGTTAATATATATTTAAATTGTATTAGGGGTAGAAAATAGTATGTATGGGACCTACACTCCAAAGGAAAATCAAAGTATTTAAGAAGTTATAATCCTTAGTCTGATGATTTCATATGAGAACTGAAAAAGCCCTTAGCAAGTCATCCTTCAACTTGCTATTAGGGGTAAAAGTAAAAGCAGCCACTCTCGTCCTTTTAGTATAGCAGCCATGATTAGTCAGGATTTTTTTCTTTTGCATGTATTTGTTGGAGGATCTTGTATACGTTTTGTTTTGGTAAAGAGATTTCTTTTTAATGTGAGCCCCATGTTTGTTTTTTATCATTTCAGGGGTGAAGTGAAATCAATTTTGACTCAGTAAGTCATACTGTAGTATGGAGTTTGTAATGGAGTTTTAGGGCCCCTAGTCTCAATAAAGCTGTTACACTTTTTAAACAAATGCATGTTGTTCACATTTCCTGCAAAACTGGTTCTAAAGGGATTTTTTCAAGCCTCCACAGTGCTGTTTTTTATTTGTTTTCTCAAAAGCAAGACTGAATTTCCACAGAATCTTGTTCTGAGGACTTTGTCCCAACATAATTAATTGTTATGAAATAATTAGTAATTACTTGTCTTCAAATGGCACATTACATACTGAATCTTCCACACTAGAGGACTACAAAACATTTCAGAAATATGTAATGCACCAATCGTGTCAGCAGATGGCATCCATGACCATATGAGGGCCAGTTTTCTCTCTAATGAAGATGAAGAAACGCTTTAAAATGTTTTTCCCAGATTGGCAGTAATTCAGATTGATCACACAATGCTCGGGGGCAAAATATCTACAAGTAATTAAGAAGTACTTAATCCCTCTTGGGGAAATTCAATTTTGCACACTATTGTTAGGAATGAGATAAAAGCAAATAGTCCTCACTTTCTATGATGGTTAATAATCTGTTATTGTTTTAATTATACACACATAGATGAGTCTTTGGATGAAGGTGTGTAGCAAACAGAAGCAGTGAGATCAGTGCCAAAGGGGTAATCAACTCCTTTCTCCATCTGAATTTGGCTTGAATACAAAGTTTTGTTCAGAAGACCATAAAGCTGCAATGAGACAACCAAAAACACCACATTACACACATTTGGGTAAAGAAAGGCAATTAATCAACATACACTATATGATCACGATCAAGGCATTTACCAATTTCTTTCCAATTTAACCTGTTCACAACAAACATTTAACACTGTTTAACAAAACCAAACCTATTCAATTTATAAAGATACAAATTCGAGGAAAATAAAAAATCCTCACATTAACCAGCAACTGTAACTGTTTCTTTGTTGTTGTTTTTTTTTTGGATGAAGGAATTAAAACGATTAATTGCTAGTGAAAATTGTCAGTGACTAATTCTCTTTTTATCTCTGGCACGACTACACATTGCAAAATACATTACAAACCCTTGTCTGCACCACAAGAGGGGGGTGTATCCTAAGACAGTAAGAAACAGATTGTACTTGCACTGTGCAAAGCCAAGTGCTCTGTAGTTCCGACAACAGCTGATCAATACACCTCTTCCATGAACCAATCGCTGATATGAAGGCCTGGAGTTGGTTGGAAAAATATATGACCTGGATTTGATGTTGCATTCCCCTACTTGGGAAAAAAAAATTCAGGCGAAAGCAGTCAGTCCCATTTTATGAGTTTGCAAATCCAACTGGATTAGAAAACTTGCTAAAAATATACACAGCAGTCAGCTGAAGAAATATGATTTGTTACAAATGTTGTTGTTGAAGTGCCATTGTCAAACTGGGTATTCAAACAGACATACAAGTCTGTGTGGTGATAGCTGATACCTACATTGTTCAGAGAGGAGAAAAGAATTTCCTCAAGTACCTTGCCCCGTCATTCTGCCTGCACGAGTATTGCCACATCAGTCGTACGTTAGGAAATGCAGATCATACCCTTTAGCACCTTCCTCTTTGCTATTGACCAGTTCCTTAATTAAAGCATTAGGATAGGCAGGATGAGATCAGCCTGCAGGCTGCTAGGAGTGTGCGCTTTCCCCCATGGGAGACATCCCCTCCCTCTGCAGCCTGATTTACAGCACCCACAGGCCCCCGGCACTTAACAATGGACCTCCTTAAGTGAGGTAGATGGGGAGGAGACCAGAGAGGGGGAGATAACACTCCATCTTCATACATAAAGTGCTGAAATCATCTAGGTTCGAAATCATCTCTGTGAGACAGACTGATCATGGAGTCGGTCCAGAGGTAAAGTGTAGGAGTGCTGCCTTGTGCTCAGTCTGGCTCACTTTATCAGGGAGGAGAGCTCTGTTTAAGAGTGATAGCCAGCTCTCTACATGCTCACCTCTCCTGTCAGATGGAGAAAAAAAATAGGTCTTCCAAACAGAAATTTCCCCAACAACTGGTAAATCTAAGCTGACTACACATACTGTGGCTCTGTAAACATATGGGTGGTTCAGAGATTTACAAAAACAAGCGCCCAGCAGCAGAAACGTTCTGTCTCAAATGTTTGGATGCCCCCTGATCAAATACATCACAGGCTCACAGCGAATGATTGAAACCCTCCCAACAATAGCTCCTGCTATCTCCCTCTCCCCGAGGTGTGGGAGAGCCTTTTCATCTCAGGCTTTGATTAATAAAGGAATCGCTGGTTGGTTGAAAGCAGCGATCTGCCCCCCCGAGCATCCATCATGCCTGTGACAGCCCACCTCTCTGTGTTAATTAGCAGTGATATTTAAGCTGTCTGAGGTGTTCTGTGGCCGTCAGCGTGGTGGTGCTGCTCATCATTAAAATTTCAATTCCTCTGTCCGGGTTACTCCCATTTTCCTGGACACCTCACTGAACACGTCTTCAAACGTTCACACAGAGGCACAGACCGAGTGTTCACTGCAAGCGGAAACCAAGACATGACAATAAATGTAAACACAAGGACTTTTTTTTCTCCTCTAAATGAGAATTAGAAATGTAAAGAATGACTAAAGAGGAAAATCAAATGAACAAACTGTGAATCTGACCATGTTGGTGCACTCGCTGTATTTTTACATGCATTTCTTAATGTTAACCCAACTGTGTCTGCATTAATGTAAAAACATCAATTTGATTTATCACACTTGCTCGATAATTATTTGATATTACATGAAAGAATTTGCCATAAATTTAAAGTTCTCGTCAAACAATGAACAGTGAAGGTGTGAATGCATTACTTATTAATGATTACCAAATATTGTAATATTCTCTAATACTGGGGGGTATTATTCAGAAATAAATTATGTATGTAGCAGAATCCTGGGCTGCCTTATTACCAAAAGGCATCCTGCACCAATATGAGAACTTTAGCGATATAAAATTAAAGAATAGCTGGGTTAAGTGAAGGGTATTAGAAAACGGCAGCCATTTTACATCAATCTGAGATGGACAAAATGGCCTCCAGAATGTACACAAAGTTGTCCATGGGGTGCCAGGTTATTACTGTCACCATTAACAAAATCTAGTAAACATATGAAAGTTACCTGCCTCACAAAACGTCTCCGAGGGGGAATATTCTGTCACATCATGCTTCAAACTGTCCCACATTCAAATGTCTGACACTACTTTTCTAATTAGTGTAACTCAACAAGATTAATTAGCGTCTGCATATCATTCCCAGTACTCAAAATATAACACAGAGGAGAAGAGAAGCGAAAGCCATCACCCATCTGACTGGTAACGAGGGAAAAGTAAAGTTCGGCCTACTTGCATATTTTGATACATCGAAATCATGAATATTCATACATGGAAATTAATCTCCAGTGGTGTCAGAACTTGCAACCTGAATTTTCTAAATTAACTTTTTGCAATTTGGTTCAATCACATGAACGGAGTGAGAGAGGGGAAGGGAAGCAGAGGTACAAAAAAAGGTTATAACCTTGACCAAAACGCTTTAAATATGCGACCAATGGTGCCTTTTTCGCAGAGGAACATTTGACATGTCGGAGTTGGAAAGGCACATGTGTTAATAATAAATTAATAGTGGCTGAATTCCATTTAGTCGCTTTGGTTTCAGGGTCCTAATACTGTGCACACAGGCTCACTGTCTCACTATCATGGCTTACTGGGACAGCCAGCTTTAATGTTACTGGTGTCACCTGTGCTTTTTTCTAATATGACAGGTCAAAACGATCACTAACTCTTCCCCCTCGATTAAAAAATGCTAATACATAGCTCTCACAAAGAGAGGAGGGAGAGGGGAGGAGGCCCAGAGGCTGCTGAGTGTGAGGGCTTCCTGCTCTACACCACTGCTAAGGGTCTAGCAGTATGCAGATATATTTATAAAGATCAAGTTCAGTTATGCAGGACCTGAGATTTATTTGGCCACACAGAGTCATCCACTTTCCCCTTGACAGGATGGACACCCCGGCGCCCTGCCTACTGTGTAAAAATCACTTTCCAACGGAGGTGCGTTTAGCCTCGGCAGATACATTAACATGCCTTGGCCTTACGCCACCCTATTAATCCACAGCTTGTTGGGACCCGTTTGGACTGAGATGCTTCTCCAGGGAACAACCAACTAGCCACAACAAGAGTCTATTTTTGGCCTTCACAAGTGCTGGATGCTCACTACACTGTGGGCAGACATATTCATCTGGTAAGCCGCAGCCTTTGTGTTCCATAGACCAGAAACCCACTTAACAAATATAAGGAGAGATGAAAATATAACCATCAATTTCTTCTCTAATATGAATATCAATTTTCAGCAAAGCTTTTCCCATGACCCCAAGACTGCAGATTTGGTAAAAGAAGCCCTGGTAAGGATGTGATTTCAGAGGCACACTTATATATTAAAGACATACTACAAACAACTTTACAAATAGCACATGACTCTACAGAAAAGACCTTATTGAAATTGTTAACGCAACACAGGTATATTTGTCTCAACCTCTTCTAACATACCGCCAAACTATCCATCATTCCCCTGAGTTCAGAGGGATCATGTCTCTTTAAGATGTAAAACCTGTTTTCTTTCTCTTACATGGCACAATGTCAGAGGGCATGCTGTGTAACCCCAAGTTATCAAGTTCAGGAGAAGGTCTCTTATGAAATTATGCAATCCCACTTGACAAGGCAAGTCCAGGGCTTTCCTCTGTCTCTTTATATTCCGACAATTTTCCACTTGAGCAGACGACCTCAAGTGTGAAGTGAAAGAGTAAAGAGAGGGATTTGATATCCAAGGGAAACGGTGCATGAATCCACTAGGGGTTGATAGACAGGGCAGGGGCAGCCATGCTTTTTACCCTTAGAGATTTCCATGGGTCAAGGCTGTTACAGGGCCACATTCTCGCTCTTCTTGATCTTGTCAGGACAGACTGTCAGGCTGATGAAGAGATAGGCTGCAGATAGATGATGGCGTTGCACGAACGCTGGGGCTGCAGTGAGCAGAGGCAGTAGTCAGAT